TTTTTTTTTTTTTTTTTTTTTTTTTTTAGTTGGATACATCTTCGAAATTTCGTCGTCTAAATGGCTGCTACATTATTTTATTTACATTATTTTATTTACATTATTTTTTTCTTCGTTGCTCGCGGTGAAAAATTAACCAAATATCGAATATCGAACATATTGCTTCACGATATTTATTAGAAAAAAAAACCATGCAATTGTATAAAGTGAGAAAGAAAAATTAGAAAGATAATTTTACATAGATAGAGAGAACTGAAATTTATATAAAAATTCATTTCGATTCATCGTTGCATAATCCATGAGAAAGAACGGCCGTACTGAAGGAAGATTGAATGTAGTATAAATAATTCAATCTTTTTAGAGATAAATTTATTATGCTGCGAAATGATTTTATTTCGTTCTATTTCGTTTAAAATAATATTTAAAATAATATAAATATTAAACAAAATGGATGATACCGGAAAATTTGTGTATTAATTAAAATTGATTTACGACAAATTTACAAATGTATTAACGTTATTATTGCCATTATCTAGAAAGAGATTTAAAGTGATAACGAAGAAAAAAAACTGATAAGGTAATAATCAAAAAGTTACGAAAGATTAATTTATCTGCGAATTTTCGTGGAGACAGAAGTCACTCGGTTTCAAGAAATTTGAATATAAATTCGATAGCTTAGAGACGTTGAATGAATTGCCTTTAAATTATCCATACCAACGATATTCAGAGATTTTCAATAAGATTTCAATAAAAATGAATAAATGGATAGCTTAGGACTGTTGGCAATCAAGATCTCTTCAATATCTCTCAATTATATATCATTTCAATGATTGAACGTAGACTTCAACGAGGCATCGTTCAGCACGATAATTACATAATGAAATTTCATTCCATTGAAATATATTTTCTCCGGATTTAGATTTGAATTTTTTAATGCTCGTAATTTAATTAATATATATATCAAAAGTTACAATTATAAATAAAATTGTATTAAATAATTATGGGAGAATAAAATTTCTGCTTTTAATGTAGAGATTAATGAATAATAATTATGATTAATAATAATTACACGAGACATAAGAGTTCCATTTTACGAAAAAATTGCAGTATTTGTTCACATTGTATATTATATTTGAAATAACCAAAAAACATTTGCATTGATGCAATATATTATTCCATGAAAGTTTAATAATATTTGTACATGCTTAAAATAAAAATAAAAAAAGAGGAATATCTTTATATATTTGTATAAATGCAATGGTTCATCATTTTACTTTACGAGTTGAAAATGCAATTCAAATCTTAGATAATAATGTTGATTACTCTAGCAATATATATATATGTAGTTGCAGTATAATGATGATATATCTGTTATTCAAAAGCTTAATTACTTACAATAGATTACTGGGATTGCAATTGTGGTGAATTAGGGTGATTGTTTCGATGAAAACCGATTAAACTAACCTTAACATTTATTAATCAGAGAACGATTATTCATGTTGATTATTCATTTATTCATTTCTTTTTATTGCAAACTACAAATACAATGTGAATCGATTCGTATTCAATTTCTATTAATATTTTAAAGAATCATCAATTATTATTTTTTAAAGAAGAAAGGAATATTTGTAAAAAGAATTTATAATAAATTTTTTTGGTACATGATATCTTCTAAATTTAGATTATGATATTAATTAAATTCTAGATATTAATCTTTGATTATTAAGCTTTCATGGAAGTCACTTCAAAGCTTTTAATCATAAAGTTCTTTCTTATTTAATCAGGAAAAAATTCGTGAAAACAGGAACGAGTTCTAAGAAATGAAGGAATTTATCGGACTTAAAAATCAAAGAGATGTCACCGTTGTCGAGGAGAAAAAGAAAAAAGCAGCAACATGTATATATCCAAATATCGTATAAATATTTTTAATTCGTTCGTATGAAAAAAATTTTTCACGCATTTAAAATATAAAAGAGACACGTCTATGCAGGCTCGTTTAACAATCAAATTCTGTCTCTTCCAATCAATAATCCATCACCGCGTACTTTTCCATGCAAAATAGTGCAGATTCGTATATGAATATTCATGATAAATATATAAAGGTGTCGAATCGAATCTTTTTTTTTTATTTCCTTCTTTTTTTATTTATATATTTATTTATTTAAATACAAATGTCTACTAGCATATTCACATATCATATTCTAAATACTAAATCTAATGTTTTTGACAATTATGGTTTATCGCGAAATTCAGTGAAAATGACAGAAATTTATATCTGCATATTTAATCTAAAAACGAAATACGCAAATATTTCTGACAATATGAGGTTGATAGACAGTGCTGGATATTAAATTTTCAATATTACTGTACTTCAAGAAGGGAAAAATATGGTTTGAAAAAAAATATCATATTTTTTTTTTCAAAATATTTTGCAACCATAAATGGTTATTGTAAAATTTTCGTTAATAACAAAATATACTATTTATTAAATCGTGATTTACTAAACGATATGAGCTTGCATCGAAAATTTTTTCTGCCTAGTATACATTTTACTTTATTTTTTACAATTTGTTTTAACAGAATCGTCAAAAAGTTTATTAATTAATTTATTAAAAGTGATAAAAACTATTGAATAATCCAAAATAATAAAATAAATTTGGATTAAATATATTGTATATAAATTTAAAAATATTATTATTTTTTTTTTAACATATAAAATGAACTTAATTACTCTTTTAAATTGGGATGAAAAAAAATTCAAATTGAAGCCGGAAAAAGCGCTTTATACGTGATTTTGCAACATGCGAAAAAATTATTGTCGAAGTTATGCATACAACAAGTTTTCAAATCGATAGAAAATAAAATGACGAATGTAGAGTAAAAAATGGATTCCTATTTTATCAATACTTTTATAGTGAAATTGAGAACAATCTAAAATACTTTTAAAGGGGGAATTTCTGCATTTTATTATATTGCTTTTATACAGCCATGTTCTCATCTACATTTCAAGATTCTACATGGACGTGGCTTTTATGCTAAGAAAACAATTCCGATGGAAACCAACCACGGTTGCATCTATGGCACTAGAATTTTTTCAGATTTTCATAATATTTTATATTCTTAAAATATACGTTTATTTAATAATATTTTATTTATATTTTATTGATAAATAATATTTTATTTATAATTTTAAATTTTTAGGATATGAAAATATAACTATAAACAATAAATATTCCATAAAAATAAATGTATCTATTAGATAATTTACCTTGAAACTCCATTAAACTCAATTAAAATTAGGAAAAATTTGAACCGCTATAAGATATCCAATATCCAAAGATAGTAACCTTCTATCAACGAGTGAACGACCATTAGAAGCACAAAACCTTGCTTTTTAAAACGCTCTTTCATTTATCTCGATACGACTTCCGGTTCTCGAGATATCGAGAGAGATGTCGTATAAAGAAAAGGGTGATTTTTAATTTACTATCTTCGTCCTTGTTTCTTATTCAGATTTCTCGTTCATGTCTTGTCTCACTGACCTATCCTAAAGTTCAGACATTCCTGGAAAAATATAGTACCCATTTCTAAGAAAAGAATGTAAGTCAATGGGGCTTTTAGCCCATTGATAAAATTCTGCTCGTCTTGCAAGCACTTTGAATCCTTATATCTTAGCGTTAAAAGATAAAGCAAAAAAGAACTTTATTGGTATAGTTTCTTTTATATTTTAGACGGATTTTTGGTAATCTTTAATAATTTCTTAAGTTTTTTATATGAAAAACAGGAAAGACATGTATAATTAAAGTTGTAATAATGCTAACAGAAGTTTAAATATGATAAAATTCATATTGTTAGAAAGATGATATTTAATTGATTTTGTTAAAAGAAAAAATATTATAATTTATCTTTTTTCACGATATTTTGAATTTATTTTTAACTTCTGCTTAA